CAGAAAAATGAACGATTTTTACGTGATTTAGTATTAGAAATGATGATTAAAAAAATTTAAACAAAATTATACAAAAATAATTGACAAAAAAAAAATAAAACTATACTGAATTTTGTGCTAATGACGCGCAATTGTTAAAAAAAATGCTGTTAAATGTTGCACGGAATCGTTGGAGAAGAAACAATAATAAAAATATAAATTTTATACAATAAATAATAATAATGCATTTAAGAAAGTCACTGTGTATTTTTCACACAAAACGTGCAAATAATTTTTGGCACCAATTTATAGAAAAACTGAAACTTTAAACATCACATCACATCACTTTTTATTAAAACAAACTTTTCTAAACACACTTGCATACGGCCATATGCATAGATACATTTATACATATATTGCAGCAACACGATCACGCTGTGTTTATAAACATTTAGTGCGGTCAAATCGCTATCACAGCTCCCCACAAAAGCAAAAGCATGTGAAAATATTTGAAATTTGCATTGTGCATATGCACGTATGTATGTAGTCAGCTAACGTACTCGTACGTAAGTTGCCGAAATATGAGCAACTCGTGCCATTTATCATTTTTGTTGCTTTTTTGTTGTTGTATCTGTGCTATACTTTTGTTGCGGTTGTTGTTGTTGTTTTTGGAAAGGCTTCCAATGCAATTGCTTTTCATTACTGTTTGTTGTTGGCTATTATGCCATTAACTTTACTTTGCGTTTATTCTGCTTATTTTTTATTTTAAATTTTGTATTTTTACTTTAAATTTAGCAAATTGATTTGCCTTTTTAGTAGCTTCTGTTTATTGTTTTTGCATTATTAATGTTGTTTTTGGTGTAATCGATTTTCACACCGAAATGATCAATTCTTATAGGAATTTGCTTATTGAATGTTGGTATTGCGTCAATGTTGACAACATTGGTATCTAAACATATGTGAAGCGAAGTCAGAAATTGTAAGATTGTTGGAGAAAGAATATTTAAAGAAAATTAAATAAAAATATATTCAATTCAACATATCTTTCAAAAAAAGAGCATTTCGTTTGTTATATTTTTGATTTCATAAAATTAAAAAAAATATATATTATAATTTACTAATTTCATAAGAATTTGTTGTTATAATTCATTACTGTATAATCCTTCTAATTGGAAATAGCTTCTTTCATCATAATTCGCTTTAAAAGCCTAAATCAGGATATATCATTTGTCGTTCTATCATATCTAGGTTAGGTTAGATTTTGCTGGCACACCAAAAAGTCCACGCGCAGATCATAAAGGTCCATTGCGATATCAGATCAGAGTTTTTTTAACGATAGTGTGCATCACTTAGGATGCGCGTGTTATCGGCGAATGTTATTAGAATAGGTCATATCTATATTAGTTATAAATTCTCAAACTATAAATAATACAATTTTTCACTACAAAATGCTTGAGTTAATTAAGATAATAATCCAAAAACAGTAAACACCGAGTCATCATCATTATCACCCTCTTCTAAGTCTCTGTAACGATACTAACTCCGAACCGATGTCAAAGAGTTTGATGTTTCAAGCTTTTAAGCAACTTGATCTACACCATTATGCATATATAGCGATGAGCTTGTAGTGGTATAATTTATGCACTTAGCTTATTTCCTCCTTTTACAAGGATCTTTTCAACATACCAAGTTGTAGCACCAAGTATAATGTATAATACCCACTTTATCATGCATAAATGCGTCAATTTCCAATTTGTTTCCTAAGTGCATCTTCACATCCCATGATGTCGCCTATTAGTTTTCTTACTCCAATGCACACATAATTTTGAGCACAATAGATCTTTGAATCCGTTCATTGAAGTGGCCAGATTTTTTCGTCTTAATCCTTGTTGATTTTAATTTAAATCCCATCTATTCGCAATCTATTCTTGATCCCTCAAACAATCCTCTCACTTCTCACACTAGTTTTAGTTATCCACATGCAATACACGCATATATATTTTTGTGATTTATATCATGTTATCTACTTCACAGATCATTTCGAGCTACAACAACAACAGCAGCAACAAAAACAACAACAACAATCAAACCAATAAACCAGTACCTCTACACGGCTTTCGTTGAACCCAATGAGTTCTGTCCACAAATATTAATCATATTAATCATTTAATATTATAGTCAAAGTGAATTAAATATAGTAGTTATTTGTCCTTGTTATTAAGATTTTTATGTTTGTAGGTTTTTTAAATAGATTTTTCTCTAACACTTACTATTTCGATTAATATTAAAAACACATAATATTTTTCATTTCATATTTTAAACTGAAGTATTATCTTTATCCAAAGAGTAATTAATTTGAGCTTTAAAAATCTGTAAAAGTTTAATAAAAACAATTAGACAACTATGTGTTTTAGCAAGTGAATTTGTTAATAAACTTTAATAGCAAACTAACAAAACTTCAGAAAAATGTGCGAACATAAAAGTCAAGTATGGCTTTGGGTCAGTTGGTTAAGGTGCGCTGACTCTGAGCTTCAAATTTGGCGGGGCACAAGTTCAATCCCTGGTACTTGCAGTCTCAAAAAATTACTTACGAATAATTAAATATAAGAGATAATTCCAAGACCACTGATAAAGGGTATTTGGCAATACTCGGAAAGCTGTATAGTTTGCCAATAATTCAATTGATTAAAATAATATAAAAAGGATTTTTGTTGTTGTATTTCACTACTGTACGAAAAATCTCTTTAATTTTTTTTTTCCTGTAAATAATTATTTTTCAAACCTATTCAATTTATTCCATAACGATCAACACGATCAAATACGGTAAATTAATTATATGTTTTAACTCAAATTAATAAATACTTCATTCAATTTTCAACAAATTATATTTTAAATTATTTATACTTGTCAATCGTGATGGCAAGTATGAGAATTTTTTATCGGTTTACAAAATTTGTTAAAACAACACAGATTTATCTTAAAACTAATATATTATGTTTTTGTTTTTTTTTTTTTGTTTGGTTTTTTTTGCAATTTTTGTTTATAATTTATTATTTACGAGTATACACCGCAGGTGCCAAAATTAATATAAGCGATCGTTAATATGTAAATTAATTTTTGGTCTTAACAGTTTTTCTTGTTCTTTGCTGTTGTGTTTCTGTTCAATAGACAATTTTTGTTTTTGTTTTTGTTTTTGTTCTCTGTTATATATTTTGTACGTTAGTTGTTGTTGTTAAGCTGTAACCACAAATACGCTGCTTAACTAATATGTCTATTAATTTAAAACAACAGTAAGAGGAAGCATCATGCTCGTTATGAATGAGAACAATCAAACACAACACAACAGACACTACCATACATACACAACACACACATATGCATATACTATGTACAAACCAGCAAGATTTGTAAATATTTTGGCTTTTATGCTGCGGGCTGTTGCGTTTAGTTAAACGCTGTTCACTGCTTAACTATTTTTAAAGAAATGTTGTTTTTGTTATTGTAAAAGCATACGTTTTTGCTTTGAGGTTTTTGCATTTTTTGTTCTATGGCTTTTATGCTATTGTTGTGTTATGCTGTTGTTGTTTTCTTTGTGGTTAATTTGTTATATTAATTAATAAAGATAAATGGTTTATTTTACTAAATGTTTCTTTTTTAAAACATTAATTTTGTATTGAATCTGTTCGGGAAACAAAAAGAATCAATATTAATTTGTAATGACAGCAAAAGTGTGGCAACTTACTGCCTGTAGACAGACAGATTAGGCCTTACAGCTGTTAAGTTAACATTTTTTTCACACAATTAAATCTTGTTCGCTTATATGTTATAAATGATTATAACAGTTTTTTGTTTCAGTAGCTCAAAAAGCATTAGTTGTTGTTGTGAAGTATGTAAATGGTTTACCAATTTAGATTAATAAAGACATTTCGTTCTGGCTGTCAATCTGAGAGCTAGAAAGTAATTATTTAATTTAGATTCTAGGGGTACTAATAAATTTGTTAATGAATATAAATAAATAAATAAATTTAATACGGCATTAGTGAAATTTTATTTGTTTATTTCCATGATTTTTATGTCGTTTTTTATGAGCAAAGCTAGAACTGTAATTTTTCGAACTGTAATTTTTTTGCTCGAATTTTGCTCTAAATTTGCTTTTAATCTGTCATTTTTTGCTCGAATTTCGCTCTCGATCTGTTCAATCTGTTATTTTTTGCTTGAGTTTTGTTCGAGATTTGCTTTCAATCTATCTTTTTTTCCACTCGATCTGTCATTTTTTTGTTCAAAATTTATTAGGATCATTTATTTTTTGCTTAAATTTTGTGGCAAATGCCAATTTGATTGGCAATTGAGGATTGGAGTTCGAATATTCCGTAGAAAAGGCATGCCTGTCGTAAAAGGTAATTAAAATCCATTGCCCACCAACCTGTACTGTTTTGGAATATAAATGGTTGTAAGTTTTTTGATTTTATTTATTTTAGTGGTATTTTTAAACTTAGTTTATAAGTCCCCTATTTTGAAAGAATGTGATTAGAGGAAGGACCCATCTATTCCTTATACAGACCGAACAAAAGTATATTTATTTATCTACTTAGTTTTAGGTATATATAGAAAACACCAGAATACTCTTATTCAGGGGAAAGAATCAGTGAACTAGAAAAACCATAGACAAAACTAAATCTTTTCTAGTATTACCACTTTTGGAAAAATCCTAGCTACGCTACGCTACACAAGTAGAGTATTCAGGGGAGTGTTTATGAAGGAAGGACGACCTATCTCCTAATCCTTTTAATGATGATATAACACATAGCACAAAAAATTAGTGAATTAGAAAAAGCATAGACAAAACTAAATCTTTTCTAGTATTATCACTTTTGGAAAAATCCTAGCTACGCTACTGAGATAAGCCTACAATATATGTAAATACGTAAATTTTTAATATTTTTTACCTGACATATATAAGTGACTATATATATACGCTCTAACATTGCTAATTAGATACTCGCAGTTTATATGTTACATACCTTGATATTGTTGCTTGTAATTCTCCATTGGTACTGGGACTTTGTCTCTCTCTTTTCACGTGATTGTTCCCAATTTGTGTTTGATGTTGAATGCTGCTGTGATTTGTATGATTGATGTTGCTAGTACTTAAGTTACTTAGGCTGTCAGAGTCGTTATGTTCGATTTTACTGTTCAGATTCAGTGACTCCGCTGACATATTGCCAAATATTGAACTGGTTACATTTTTCAACTTGTCTGCATTCTTATACGACGATGCTGTTGGATATGTGGCAGCACCAGAGAATGTCGCTGCTACTACTGAGCTGTTTGCTGCGCTATTTTTGGCCAATGTGTTGAAATTTTGCAGCATTATTCGCTCACTTATCATTTTAGCAAAATATTCAGATAAAATTTTTAAGGATTTACGTGCATTTGTGTATTTTCAATTGTACTTATTTTTGCTAGATAAAAGCTTTAATCAACCTTCTTTCCTTCTTTTATTTTTAGGGCTTTGCATTTGCACAGCTAATATTTTGCTTAGCCTAGAAAAAAAAAAACAATATTTATTATTAATAATTTTTTAATCATAATTATATAAAATAATATAATATTATAATTAATTATAATATATAATTATTATATAAATATTATATATAATTTTATAATCATTTAAAATTAATAAATAAATTGTAACAAAAATAATTTTCAATTATAAATGATAATATTATAGTGATGTAGTAAAAGAGACATTGCTTGTAATTACATAAATATTGTTATAAGTTCTTCGAATTGCAATAAAGAAAACTTTCAATAATCAATACACGTTCTTTTATAACTTTTATATACTCTCATAGGAAAGTATGTCGGTGAGGACATTCAAACAATACACATTAGTATTAACTGAAAATATGTTATGAATACTGAAAATGAGCAATTTCCAAAAAAGTGATTTTATGATATTAAAGAAACACAGGTTCGTTAAAATAAATCATGTACTTTAACGAAAGTATTAGTTCGAATATCGTTTCACTTGATCAGAAAAAAATATTTAAGTTAAACAATTCTTAAGCAAACAAACCGATCAAGTTTATTTAAAAGTTCAACAATATGCTTATACGAAATTAAATCCATTCGAAAGATCTTAAAACTTAGAAACGGTGCTGTTAAGTATATTAACCCCTAAAAAGTTTGGGAAGGTGGCAACCAACCATATCGATGAAAGAACATTTACCACCAAACAGTAGCCGAAAGATTTGGTTGTACACTCAATTTCAATATTGAGGTCTCTACAGTCACCAGATATAGACTTTCTCGACTTCTCGGTATGAACTATTATACAGTTTTGTAGTGCAAAGCCATCACTAAGGAATTATAATACTGGTGTGGTTAAGATGTTATGCTTCTTAAATAGATAAAGATTTATTTATCCGCAGATTCATATTTGTATGATGTGTTATGACTTTTGTCGATTGACTTAGATTCACAGTCACTATTAATGGGTACATGTTTGTATCTCTGCTTTAAAGTTATTTTATCTGTATCAGGTTTATAAATCTGAGTTATATTTTACCAACTATTTCTAATAGTTACAATTTTGATTGGGCTAGAGAATCGTGTCAACTTTTTGCTGAGTTCTGGTCCCAGTAAATAATTTTTATGTTTAATTTTTTGTGCTATTAGATCAATATTATTTTTATTTAAAATAAAATATGTTGCTTTTATTTACTTAATAATTTAAAGACATATTTCGAACAGTAATGAACTACAACAACAAAAATTCTTCTTATATTATTTTAATTAAATACATTTTTCGCTGATCATATAGCTCTTTCAAGTATTACCAAATACCCAGTATCAGTGGTCTTAGAATTATTTCTTATATTTAATCATTCGTAAATAACTTTTTGAGACTGCAAGTATCAGGAATAGGACTCGTGTCCTGCCAAATTTGAAGCTCAGAGTCAGCGCGTCTTAACTAACTGACCCAAAGCCGTAATTGACTTTTATGTTCGCACATTTTTCTGGAGTGTTGTTAATTTGCTATGAAAGGTTTTTTTAACAAATTCACTTGCTGTGTTTTATATTAGAACGAAATCATAAACCAGCTGTAGAATATTTGAATTAATTAATTATATTTTTATTTTTAATTGTTAAATTTTAATACTATTCTGTTTAAGTAAAGAGTAACTAGAGAGGTTTCGAATAGTACTGACTTGAAATAATAAAAATTTTATTTATTTTTAATTAATTGAATTTATGGCTGACCATACAGCTGTTTCGACAATAGAGAGGTTTCGAAGAGTACTATATTGAAACAACAAAAAATTTTATTAATTTTTAATTAATTGAATTTATGGCTGACCATACAGCTGTTTCGACAATAGAGAGGTTTCGAATACTACTGACTTGGAACAACAAAAAATTTTATTTATTTTAAATTAAATGAATTCTTAGCTGATCACACAGCTGTTTCGAGAATAGAGAGGTTTCGAATAGTACTGACTTGGCACAACAAAAATTTTTATTTATTTTTAATTAATTGAATTTATGGCTGATCAATAGAGAGGTTTCGAATAGTACTATATTGAAACAACAAAAAATTTTATTTATTTTTATTTAATTGAATTTATGGCTGACCATACAGCTGTTTCGACAATAGAGAGGTTTCGAATAGTACTATATTGAAACAACAAAAAATTTTATTAATTTTTAATTAATTGAATTTATGGCTGACCATACAGCTGTTTCGAGAATAGAGTAGTTTCGAATAGTACTGACTTGGAACAACAAAAAATTTTATTTATTTTAAATTAATTGAATTCTTAGCTGATCACACAGCTGTTTCGACAATAGAGAGGTTTCGAATAGTACTATATTGAAACAACAAAAAATTTTATTCATTTTTAATTAATAGAATTTTTAGCTGACCACACAGCTGTTTCGACAATAGAGAGGTTTCGAATAGTACCAAATTGAAACAACAAAAATTTTTATTAATTTTTAATTAATAGAATTTTAAGCTGACCACACAGCTGTTTCGAGAATAGAGAGGTTTCGAATAGTACTGAACCGATGATCGCTTTCAGGAAGTATAGTTCATAGAAACTATAGTAGTTACTGTTATAAGAAAAATTAATCATTGTTACAAATTGTCAACAATTTCTATAGAAATTATAATAGAAAAAAAAAATAATTGCAATAAATTTGACAATGTCTTAAGTAAATTTTTTTTTTTTGTGTTACAAAAAGAAAGTGGAGTTGAAAGTTATTAATTTTTTAAATGTTTTATTTTTTTTTAGCAAACTGAAATTTGTTTTGTTATCTGTTAAATTACCAATTTTGTTGATTGACAAAAAAAAAAAAAATGAAAAATATAGAAAAAATAACAAAATTTCATAAATTGCAGAAAATTGAATCTTGCAAAAAATGTCAGTTTGGTTTATGGTTTGAAAAGATATTTCACATTTTACTTGCAAAAGAGTCGCATAGGTGGAATATTTAATTACATTCAACCTTAAATGTAACTAAAATTAATTAAAAAATTTAAATCTTCATTTTTGTTGTAATTTAGTACACCTCTAACAAAAGCGTTGACCTTTTTGGTTAGCCTTAGACAGCCAAACTCAACTCAAACTTAAATTCAAACTCAAAGTCAAAATAGAAAAGAGAATGTGTGAATTACTGACAAAATTTATTTGGCACCTGTTTGTCTTTTTCAAAAGATACTTTTCAGTTTTATGAGCGTTTTTGACATGGGAGGAACCTTCTTTTTTATTTACCAAATATTTTATTTAACATTTTACGGGCTTGAAAGCATTTAGCATCTATTTTTTTTCTCACAACACATTTTTTTTCTTCTAATTTTAGCAGCATTTAGTTTTTTTCGTGCAAAGATATTTTAATTTTTATTTTTTTTTTATTGAAAAAAAATCTTTTTTTTTGCTCTTTTAATTCTGTTAAATTTAAGTTTTGTTTGGAAGGCGATTTATCGTTAACTGATTTCGATCGTGATTAGCATAGAAATTAACTTGTATTTTAAGGTTGGGAGCAGTCTTGGACGCAGCTACGTCCGCCGCGCTGCTCTTTACACCGCTTCATAGTACTGCTGCGACATATGAAATGTCAGAGGTGCCATTGTGCGATACGTATATTTTGTTGTAATTGTGTTGGTGGTGCTAAGTGCCTAATGCCGCACTAAATTATCAACTCCACTGTCTATTGGCTCTGTTGACAACAACAAGAACAACAGTTAGATACTTGTACTCAAACTCAGATAAATCGCTAGTTCGATAGATACAACAACAGTTTCGATGGCGCACAGCGGCGGTAGTATCAGCGACATTACACATATATCGGTGCTGATATTTCTTCATTGTTCATTTGTTTGCTCTGCTCGAACTTGACAGTCCGTCAGTCCGTCAGTCACTTAGTCAGTCAGTCACTTAGTCAGTCGTCAGTCGTCAGTCAGTCAGTTCATTTGTCAGGCGTACTTATTCATTCGGACACATGCGTACAAAGTGTCAATAAATACTAATCGACTTCATCATAAACTTTTGACGCGTACGAGAGTACGAAATATGACGGAATTCGAATTGTTCGAATTGCTTTGAATGTGCTAGGCTGGTAAAGTTCATTGCCATTTCGTTATACCGTAAATAAAAGAGAAGTGATGGAGAACTGTTAAGAGGGAAGTATGGGTACATTGATATGAGGAATTTATTTGACTTGATATTACATATAATGTACTATATTATCGTATTTATCTACTTACTGATATGTGATATACATATATGTACATGATAAACGAATAAACGTTTTATATAATTCCGTTACCGTTTTGTATAAGAGAGCGATATGATATGACCTTTTTTAGATAAAATTTTAGAGATTCAAGAACATTGATGTATAGAAACGTTTGATAAAGTTTGAGAGCAAAGTTGATTTACCTATAATAAAATTCAAGAACAAACACAGCAACCCAATAGTCAATTCAATATAAGAATTGTTAGATAGAAACAGTTTAATGAATTTTACGAACAAAATCGAATTATCTATTAAAAAATTAAAGAACTAATAGCCAATTTAATATAAAAATGTATGGATAGAGACAATTATAAAATTAAAAAACTAACACAGCAACTCAATAGCCAATTCAATATAAAAATCGATAAATAGAGATAGTTTAACAAAATTTGAGAACAAAGTTGACTTATCTATTAAAATATTCAAGAACTAATAGCCAATTCAATATAAAAATTGATGGATAGAGACACTTTAATAAAGTTTGAGAACAAAGTTGACTTATTTATTAAAAAATTAACCAACTAACACACCAACTCAATAGCCAATTCAATATAAAAATCGATAAATAGAGATAGTTTAACAAAATTTGAGAACAAAGTTGACTTATCTATTATAGAGTTAAAGAACTGCCACGCCAACTCAATAGCCAATTCAATATAAGAGTCGATAACACACTTAAACAAATTTTGAGAACACAGTCGACTTATCTATTATAAAATTCAAGAACTAGCATACCAAG